CAAAAAATTCAAGTTAAATCTATGAATAATTAGCACCCAAGCCAAGTATGACTTCATAAAAGTTAATGAAATTTTCAGAAGATTATAACTAAACAAAACTCCTCCTAATATGCATTTTATCGAATACCTCGTAAGCATTAAACCTTAGACTAATAATCCAAGTTTTTTTTCCTTCTTCAATTCTCCCTCCAGTAATTTCCAATACCAATTTTAGGTTCAACACTTTCCAATTAAGCCTAAAGATAGTTAAATTGATTTATTCTTTTGGTGGAACCAATGTAAATAAGAGAAATTAGCTACCAAAAATCATATTCTTAAGCTTAAATCTTGAATATGATCAGACTCCCTTTGTAATGATATTGGGATAGGCCAAAAGAAGGTTTGGGTTGGAGGTGTGAGATGGGCCTAGAAGATGGTTAAGGGTTTTGAAGATGGCTGCATAAGCTAATGGGGTGCAAAGAGAAAAGGTGTAGATGAATTTGGTGACTCTCTCTCTCTCTCTCTTTCTCTGGCGTCTTCTTCCTTTTTGACCATAGTCTCTGTGACCATGGAATTTCTTCTCTCTTCTATAACTTCTTATATTCCTTTAGTAGTTTTGTGGCTACCCCTCCTATATTTCTTGTTTCTATTATTCCATAGTTTCTATTTTCCATGCATTCTAGTTGTAATTTACATTAAACAAAGATCAATTGTGTGTTTCTTTTTTTTATAATTTGAGTTCATGACACCCTTCTACTACCCCAATCACACACAGCTACAATGAGAAAGAAATCAAAATCTCTAGCCATCACAAAACATCAATAATAAAGAAAGAAAGGGAAGAAAGTCATGAGTTATACAGGGGAGAAGGGACCCGATGCAAACAAGCTACAACATAGTCGGAGGAGGAAGATTTTTGGCAACTCCACAGTCACAAGCCACAGACTAACAAGGACAAAGGGCAAGGAGGAAGAAGATCTGAGCACTCACCTCCATATGGCCAGCAAAAACCACGATTGATGTCATGTTTTGAAAATAGAGGGTGACCAGCACAGGATGTGAACTATATCACATCCCCTAAGCCTTAAATATACAAAATTCATTTTTAAACATAATTGAATTTATATTGAAATTATACATAATAATATTTACGTTAAAAGAAAAGTTTTAATATTTTTCTAGAAATTTTGGCAGAATCTCCCCCATAAATAAAAACTCCCAAAATCTCTGCAACAAAAAAATATTACAATATGCATTCAGCAGTTTGGATCTACGCTCCCCAGCCACAGACAGTGAACATAATAAAATGAAATTAGGATCCTAGCTACGGTTAACGTGGAGCACCTAAATGTAAATCTTAAAATAAAATATATAATTGAATATTTACATAAAAGGAAAAGGCGTTTCCAAGGATGAATATTCACCTAGCACAGTTGTAAGCCTCTCAATGATCGGCAAGAGGTCCAATATTAGCTAATGAATCTGAGACCCAAATATTTTTTCAGTAAATAGCATCTCCAAAAATAGAATTTAGAAAAGTGAAAAATAATAAACTCAAGCAACTATGTAAAATAGTTGAAAAGATGATAATTCAATATAATAAACGTAATAAATCTATAAATCTTAATCATAACCATAAAATGAGAGTGGACTGAAATTGCTTTATTCTATCATGCTTGAAGAAAACAAATTATCCATATGCAAATCAAAGTAATACACTTATTAACTGAAAGCATTAAAAATTCAAATACCCAAGTTAATTAACAATTTAGAATTTTGAGGACTTAATAGAACAAATAACAAATGTAGATACATAGTCTACAAGGATAAATAACCAAACGCGACTTATGCTACGAAGACAAACATGAATACACAGTCCATCAGGATAAGTAACCAAACATAGCCTGTGCTACGAAACAAACATGGATACATAGTCCATGAGGATAATGCTAACCAAATGCGGCATAAGCCACGAAACAAACGTGAGTACAAGACTCACAAATAACAAATGTAAGAACAGAGCTTACAAAAATCAAACTAACTAGTCATTAATCAAGGCGCGCCAAGGACTAACGAAACTATCATTAGCAACAATGTTTTAGTTAAAGTCCTCTCAAAATCACTTTTGAACATGCGATAGAAATAATCATTTTTGAAATATAATTTTCATTCTCAATACTAAACTCGAATGAATCATCTTAAGCTTCAATTCAATACTTGTAAAAATAAAATTTCATAAATAATGTCCATTCTTACATTTGTTGAGTGGCAAAAAATTTTCCAAAATTAAATAAATAAGAATGCCTTCATCAACTATAAAAGTACATCTCTTAAGAAAATACTAACACAAATTATAATCTAAATATCCTTTAACATTATTTTATAATAAAAAATAAGATAATTTAATTAACAAGGTAACTAATATATATCATAGTTGTTAATAAAAATAATATGCATAAAAATGTAACAATTTCAATGAAAGACTTTTATTGATAAATTAAAATGGGTTCTATTCACTTGCTTGATATGTTTTCCAAAATTTATAGTTCACCCATTTACCACCAGAGTTGAACTTCTCTTCCAAACACCCTAAAAATAATAACATTTTGATAATTTTTTTTTAAATTTTGTTTAATCAATCCAATAGTTCCCTTCAAAAATTATTGCGATTAACATTAAATTATAATGGGTTTGAAACTTTTAGAATTAGGACTTTTCACATAAAAATCTATCAAAATCATAGCTCAATACTTCATTAAAATACGGTTTCCTATTAAACTTTTTGTCAAAATACCAAATGCACATTATTTTCGATTTCATGATAAAACTTTTAACGTTCAAATTTATTACCCAACAATTTTTCAACTTAATAATTACAAAGAACTCAACTAGCTACACAATATTTTCATAATCAAATTTCAACAGCTAATGACAAGTTTATTTGACAAAATTATAGTAGTCAAACTAATTATGTCTTCTAAGGGTTTAACGAAATTTTAGTAAATTCAAATTCAAACAAAACTCTCCTAATAGGCATTTTATCAAACACCTCATGGGGATTATTCTTTAAACAAACGCCAACTTCTTTCTCTTCAATTTTACTTCTAAAAATTTCATAATAGCAATATAAACTCAATTAGAATTCAAACCCACATCCTCATTCTCTTATTCTTCATACTAGGAGTTTCAGCTAAACTCATTTTTTTTTCCTCAAACTCCAACATGCATGGTATCATAAGGAGATCAATTTCACAGCTTCATCCATTCCAAACAAAATTATTTTAATTCACAATTTCTAATCCATATTATACTTTCAGCACCTAATTTCAGCTTAATTCCATAATTTTTAAATTTTTTCATTTCCTCAACAGCCACGAACAGCAGTGAAATTCAAGAGAAGAATTTCAACTTCAACATTACCACAGACTCACACGCACAAGTTCAGCACTGAGGCACCAAGCACAACTAATACACACAAGTGCGCAGAACCAAGTAGGGAGGAAGAGTAAAAAATCCACACCTCTAAACAACAATGGTGGAAGTTAGAAGAAGGAGACGCTGCTTCTCAAACAAGGAAGAAGAAGACGATGAATTTCGACCAGAGGCGTGCAGAACAAAGGAAGATGAAGGTGAAAACAGATGGCAGCAAGGAGGATGCAAAATCGATGGTGAAGTAAGGACCCAGGACTTGCGACCTCGACCACTGCACTAGCTCGCTTCACCGTTGGTTTGAACAGTGGCATAAGGAGGTTGGAGAGGACGGGCAAATCTCCCACTGTTTTGGGTCTAGAATTTTCGAAAGAAATTGAGAGAGAGAAGAATGGGAAGACCGACTATATACTGGGTCTACTTCTCTCTCTTCTCGTCTATTAATTTTTTTTTTCAAGGGCAAATGGGTAATTTGATGAAGGGTGAAGCAAAATGAAAATTTTATTCTTAAAAGTTAAAACTTAAGACCTCTTAAATAAGTAGCTATATAATAGCCACTAGACCAACTCTTCTTTTTTCCAAATATATTTTCAAAATTAATATAATTACAATGAAAGCACATTATTACATATTTTAATTTCACTTAAAATTCTTGATTTATTATAATTGACATCGTCGTTCACAGTTGAAGAAGAAAGAGAATTGAAGGGCAACACGTACAGAAGCTTCATGGCGTCAATCACAGCACCGGTGATGGCAGCAAGAATAAAAGAAGTTGTGAGCTCCACAGAACCCCTTGGGCAGCAAATGACAGTGACAAGTTGTAGAGGAGGAGGAAAAATTGTAATTGGAAGCCCTTGTAGCAGTGGCCAAAACACTCTCTCTCACACATACACACACACGGCGATGGCAGATAGAGATGGTAGAGGAAGAAGAAGAAAACAGAGAAAATAGGTAGAGAGTTCCAGACTTCTCTTCTCTGATTCAATAAAATGTGATCAGGAAAAAGAAAGGAAGAGGAAAAAATTTCAGATTAAAGGGGAAGATTTGACCGAGGCACAACAGCGAGAACAGAGGGAGACGGCATCAGCGAACAGCTTGAGTCGATGGATCCAGAAATTTGTTCTCATCATGCGTGCATCTAACTGAGAGAGGAGAATAAAAATCTGAACATTAGGAAATTGCAACAATTACAAAAGAGGGCACAACAGTTTCCTCTAATAACATAAAAGATGTGGGCACTTTGATAATTTTTTCATAATTTTTAAATTAAATAATATTGACCAATTGCTTAAAAGAATTCAAACTCTGAACCTTCAAGTAAGCTATTAGCATAAGTTCTATTAAGTCACCACTCTCCATTTGCCATAAAAATAATTTAAATAAAATATAAATTGGGAAAATTTTTTTATTTATAATTTAAGGTCATTACAATTTCAAATAAAAAAGGCACAAAACAAATATAATTCTATTCCTCAAATCTACTAAACTTTTGCTTCTATGAAAAGAAATAAAGGCTTGAGAGCATCAAGTAGGAGCTAGGTTTAAACCTACTTTTGAAATAGGGCGATGACAGAACATATAGTCTGAATTCAAGTGAGAAAAAGAAGCGGAATTGCACCAAAGAAAGATGCCACCTTCCAGGAAGTGCTCAAATATTGTTGTTTAAATATTGCTTTGTGCTTGTGATAAGGGTTATCATAAAACTCGTTTAGTTCTGCAAATAGAGACCTATAGTACTTCCAATCTACTTCGGTAACATTTCTATCCAGTCTCGTAGCTACAAAAGCCAATGCACCATCCTCCTCCAAAAAGTTATCCACAATTCCCTTCTCAACAAGCAGTTCAACATCTTTCCCCGTGTTGAGAAGATAATGCAAGAGGATTATGTAATCAGTCACGGTTCTCGACAAAAGAGGGTGACATTGCTCAAATGCAACTACATTTCTGAGTATGGTCTCAGTCACATCTTCAAACACAATTTTTGGGACTTTCAACACTCCTTTTGAATATTGCAGCTCCATTAAGCTTGGATCATCTTCCTTGACCTCAAATATAATTCCTGCATCATGTAGTTTACTTGCACTAAATATAGGCTTGGGATCAGTTGTTCTAACATTATCTTCTCTTGGTGGTCCATCATGTCGTGCGTAGAAGATTCTTAGCATATCACACAAGTGATGCACTTTCACTGTACCATCGGGTAGTCTAGGAAGGTGGTGTTGAATGAAATATTCAAATGTAAACTTTTTGCGAAGTTTTACATTATTAATTATATCAGGCAGGATTGCCTTCGAAAAATAGATGAAAGTAATCAATAAAAATGAACACCCATTATTGTAGCCAGTGGGAAAAGCTAGGTCATATAGCTTTTGAAGAACAAAAAAGGTAGTTGATTTTCAAGTAAAATCAAGTCCGCACTTATATTATCCACTGACCATGGCTTGGTAGGCCAAGGGTCATGATCCAATGCTTCTTGAAGAAAGTGTTCAATGGTGAAGCAAGCATCAATTAGAATTATGCTTACAAATACATCACTGGTCATTGATATGGTCTCTGAATAAGAGCGTCGGATTTCACCTTCCTTATTTCTTATAGCTTCAACATAATACCCCAATGAATTTCCCGAAATCCTGTTCAAAAATTGATTTAGGAAAACCAATTTGATCTTTTCCATTGATTCCAATTTTCCATCTCCATGGTGATATGGACCAATGGAAACCATAGTAGGAGTGTAGGCTGCTTCATTCATTTTTCGAAGTTTTGGGGGCACTCTATAGATACAACAACTTGATGCTGTGGGCAGATCCAAATGATATATAGCTTCTAACTTTTCTTTCAAGGAGCTTATTATCAAATCAGAATTTTGCAAAGAAATTTGTTGACTCTGCATTCTCTAGGACAATTTGGGGCACAGGCTGGAAATAAAAATATTAAAAAAGAATATTTCAGTTTCTTCAAATAAGGGGCCTATTGTTTGGTTTTTATTCTTTTTTTTTAAGAAAAAAACTGTTTTGTGATATAGTTTTCAAAATTATTTTTCAAAACAAAATAGAATAAAAATTTGATAGTGATGATTGCAAGCAGTTAATGGTAATTATTTATAATAGAAATTGGTCAAGCTAATTATATTTTACAATAATAAAATGTAGTGTGTTTTGACAACAAGACAAATAAAATGAAAACAATTTCAAGATGTTTCAATTTTAAAAAAAATTAAAAAAAAGAGAACAATTTTGAAAACAATTAAATCCAAAACACTTATCTAAATTGAGTTTTTTTAAAAAAAAAACAAAAAACATTTTTGAAAACAGAAGCCAAACTAGCCCATAATATAATTGAGATGAAGATTGGAATAAAGAGATAGTATCTCACAACTTAGCATATATAGCTGGTATGAATTTAATTGCTGAAATTACAAGACATTCAATAAATTAAAGGATAAAAGAAATAGATAATTAACCTGATGATGCCTTGATAAATCTTCAGGAAATTAAAGAGCACAGAATTGAACAGAAAAGTAAAGTCTTGATCAGAGGGTGTTGATTAATTGCTTTAGGCCTTGAAGGCTGTATATAGTATTCAAGTCAGCATCAAGTCTTCGCTGAGTTTAATAATACATACATTAATACCGACAAACTTGATAATTCAACCAAAGTCATAGTTGGAAAGGTACATAATTGAAAGTTTATCCTTATAAATGGATTGAATTTAACTTTTGAATCTCATATTGAAGATTGACAACATAAAAATGAATAAAGAGAAAATACAAATTTCAAAATGTGTGTGTGTGTGTGTGTGTGTAAAAGGAAGGAGCTCATGGTAAATAAAAGAGATAATAACTAATTACCTGATGCTTTGATTGATCTTCAGGAAATTAAAGAGAAGAGCAGATAGTGCAGATCACAAACAAACAGCTATATAGCATATATATGAAATCTACTTCTCACTTCTATGCATTATATAGGAGTCAGGTCGACCTCATGTCTTTGCTTAAAAGGCTCCACTTAATTTGAACATCAAGCCACGCCAATCCTCTTGTTCTTATTAGCTTTTTCTTTTTCTTGTTTTTTTCCCTTTTCCTTTACTTTTCCCTTTTTATATTTTTTATTTTTAGGGAAGATAAATGTACCATACATGCCAAATTCTCGATAGAAGCTGTCAAATATTGTTTTGTGACTCAATGTGTTTCGTCGCTTGACATATTTTAGGTCTGAGAGGTGTTGATCAGTTTAAATTGCGATCATCACCACAGTATTGTTTATGATATAATCTAAAACATATTTAACAAACAGTTTGTAATACAAATCCACGCAAGCAGCAGCTAAAGAAAACTTTAATGTAACTCATCCTGTTGATTTTGAATTATTCAGTTTATAGTCTATACATGAACTTGACATTTATATTAATAAGAAAATACAAGAAAATATATGTAATCACATCTAGTTAAAGATAATACAAGAAAAGAGATCATTATTATTAACCTTATGATTTGAATAATTAATGTGTGGCCAGGTAACTAGAGTACTAGGTAGCACCCATCACAAACATTGCATCCTTCTTATCTCCATCGGAATCTTCAAACACCATGATCTAATTTTTATAACAAATCAGGGACCTAGTTAATGAACTGGGCAACCTTAATTTTCTGAGAAAGATATTTACATCCTTCTCTCTTTATTATTATTTTTTTCCTCTTCTTTCTTTTGATTGAATAAGAAATTATAGAAAAGCTAACTGCCAGTAATAAGCTAGGCATAGTCATTATGCGCATCAAATCTGGTTCATATATATATATATATATATATAATTATTATGATTAACTAATTTTTGTAAACTATGTGATACAGTTTTTCTCTCTTATATATAAAAACAGAGAAAATATATATATATATATATATATATATATACTTGCTTTTATTTAAGCTAATTCTAATTTAGAATCCAGATCCATTAAAGTTCTTTGTCTGATCCTTGATATAAAGAACTTGATATATACTTGATGGCACTTTTCTTATGGACAGTTGAAATTTTTAAACTTTTAAAATTAGGATTGGATATTTTTTAAAAAAATTTAGGGATTAAGTTTTAATCAAGTCAAAAATTATAGAAACCAAATGATTAATTTTTTCATATTTTTATGAGCAAATAAATATAAAATTAATACCGTTTTATACTATATATTATTTAAGAAAAAATAACCAATCCTAATTTTAAAAGTTTAAAAATTTCAACTGTCCATAAGGAAAGTGCCATTAAAGTATATATCAAGTTCTTTATATGGAAAGTTTAAAAATTCCTTATGTCCCTATCCATCTACGTGAATTTCAACTTACTTGCTGATTAGATATCCACCATTCTCAGGCAAAGTATATATGTAGCAATCAAGAGGAAGATGACATTGTTCAAACGCAACCTCAAGTCTTTAATTACATTCATTTATTTTATGCTTTCAATGGCATCATCGCTTCGCTTGCACCTGTAACTGTATATTCCTTACTGCGCATCATATAATGGAGGGAAACCGAAGAAATACTCATTTAGATCACAATTTGCCATATAAATGTTAAGTAATGGTAGTTAATAATAGCAAAACATTATTTTAATCTTTTTGTCAATATATTCATGAACAGCTGATATTGGTTTTTTCTAACAACATTAGTTAAAAAAATAAACAAGTATTGATAAAATAAATATGGGAAAATTTAATTTACACGTCCTTCTAAATAAATTTAATTTAATCTTCAGTGACTAGTATATTTAATCAAACAAGTTATAAGAGGTTAATTAAAATAAAAAAAAACTATAGAAACCTAATTCCAAATCGATGTAAACAAGAAGAACTTGTAGATTACTTTTCTCAATAAATATTCAAGGACAAAAAGATGCATTTTTTTAACATCCATTCATTGTATCCTTTTCTTGGAGTGAGAGTTGATTTCAATATATAAAAATGATTATATTATTCCTTCCTTATAAATGAAAGGCTTTATAAACGACGTCGAAGAGTCTATGTTATATATACTTTGACATATAAATTTCGAAGATAGCTGATAATTGTCAATGATCTGAAAAAGTTATTTAAATATTTTATCTACCCATGACAAATACTTTATTAAATTTTATTATCCACGGTTTGATCAAACGAATATCGTTGGATAGAAAATGTCTATTTTTTCCTTGGACGTACATTTAAGACCATAAGAAGTTCTAATTATTCTGATCATAACTAATCCTACATCAGTTGTCGTCCACTCTTGAAATTTCGGGTACATGATTGAAAAGTTTAGTCTCATTGTAAATTGATTGAATTAAACTTTCAATCTTATCTTCAAGATTGACTGCATGAGTTATAAAATAATAAAGACATAATACAAATTCCAAAATTTGTATGTGTGGGTGTTTTAAAAACAGAGCCAAATTAGATGGTCAAATAGCCAGCCAGATTCATTAACGGTTCGAACCATAAAATTGTTTTCATAGTTGAAGCAATTTAAACCAAAGTTGAGCTGCCATTGATTCAGAATCTAAAATGATTTCAAGAAAATCAGACAAGTCTGAACCTGATATATACAAACAATGATCATCTGAAATCCACTTTTAACCTTGTTAGTTGATGGAGTTAGTTCTAAGGTTATAGCCTTATATGTATAGCTGTTTTTTTTTTTTGGGCCAAAATAGGTATAGCTATTTTTGATTTCTGATTATTTTGTTCATTAACTCAAAATTAGCGTATGTAAGAAGAGAGCATAACGAATCACGTTTTTTTTTAAGGCACTACTTTTTTCATTCCCCACGCACATTCTCCGGGACAATTTGGTTCATAGCTGAAAATTACAAGATTTTATAAATAGTAAATATATCCAATTCCTAATTCCTTCCGGTATATATAATTGAAAAGTATGTCCTTTTTGTTGCTAGAACTAAACTTTTGCATCTGATCAAGACTGACTGAGTTATAGAATGGAATGAAGAGATATCAAAAAGATTTGAAAATAATTCGCACATATACATAAAGATATATATATATATATATATATATTACAAGCTTAATTGCTAAAATTACAAGACATTCAAGAAAATAAAGGACGATAAAACAGAAGAGATAATTAACCTGATGATGCCATCCTCAGGAAATTAATTGAAGGCTAAGACTATCAGATCTCATTGATTTTGGATTATGTGAAGTGATCTTTTCAATCATGTACTTGAAATTTTAAGAGAGAAGAGAAATTGAACAGCTAAGACTATCAGATCTCGGTAGTCTTGGCTATGGATTAACTGCTTGAGGCCTGAATCTGAATGCATTATATAGCATTCAAGTCAATCTCAAGTCTTCTTCAATACTGACAAACTTGGCAATTCAACCAAGGCGTACTGAAAATGAGACGTGGGGTGCACGTTTAACGGCAGCACGATAAGCTTTTAATGTCAGGAGCCCATTACCACATTTGCTGATGCGAGGCCCAGAAAAAATGGGAAAATGATAGTCAAGTCCCAAAAAATTAATTTTATATCAGTCAAGTCTCAAGTAATTCTAAAAGGCCAATGAAGTCCCCAAGTCCTTAAGTGGTATTTTGATATAATGGAAAAAGACAAAAATATCCTTATTTGGCCAGTGAATTTGAGCTTGGTCGTTCTTTTCTCTGCCCTAGAGATCTCTTGCAACTGAGTAGAGAAGAGCTGTCCATTCCTTCCTTGCCCTACCGTCAGCAACATACACTGGCGATCGTTCTCTTTTCTGCCCTAAGC